GGTGTGGGTGTGGGTGTGGGTGAGTGTGGGGTGTGTGGGTGTGGGTGGCGGGGTGTGGGTGTGGGGTGGGTGTGGGTCTGGGTGTGTGTTTCTACTTTATTATCACATCCACACACACCCACACCCACGCCCACACCCACACCCACACCCACACCCACACCACACCCACCCACACCGACACCCACAACCACACCCCACACTCACCCACACCCACACCCACACCCACACCCACACACACACCCACACCCACCCACACCCATACCCACCAACTCACACCCACCCACACCCACACCAACACCCCACACCCGACACCCACCCACACCCACACCCACACCCTTGTGTTTTAGATATATACACCCAGAAGCAACAACACGGGATAAGGGTGTGGCGTGTGCGACTGCTGATGTGCGGCGCGGGCCTGTGTCGGGTGCCTTCGTAAGTGTGCGCCCTCAAAGTGAATGTCACAATTCACTTTAGTTACGTCAATATCCTTCCATCAAATCATATTCACAGTCATACCCATAGCTACCGCAATAAATCGACACTAATGAACATTAACACATACCAATACCGAACACCCGACGCCTCTTCAAGTTCTTAGAGTTCTAAGAGTTCCAAGAATTCTAAGAGTTGCTAGACATCCAGGAGTTCTAACAGTTCTAGAGTGCTAAGAGTTCCAAGAGTTCTTAGAGTACTAACAGTTCTAGAGCTTCTAGAGTTCTTAGAGTTCTAACCGTTCTTAGAGTTCTAACAATTGTAGAGTTCTAAGAGTTCTTAGAGTTCTAACAGTTCTAGAGTTCTAAGAGTTCTTAGAGTTCTAACAGTTCTAGAGTTCTAACAGTTCTAGAGTTCTAAGAGTTCTTAGAGTTCTAAGAGTTCTTAGAGTTCTAAGAGTTCTAGAGTTCTAAGAGTTCTAAGAGTTCTTAGAGTTCTAAGAGTTCTAAGAGTTCTTAGAGTTCTAAGAGTTCTAAGAGCTCTAGAGTTCTAAGAGTTCCTAGAGTTCCTAGAGTTCTTCGTGTTCCTAGTGTTCTAAAAGTTCTAAGAGTTTTTAGGGTTCTAACAGTTGTAGAGTTCTAAGAGTTCTAAGATTTCTAGAGTTCCAAGAGTTCTTAGAATTCTAAGAGTTCTAAGAGTTCTAAGAGTTCTAAGAGTTCCAAGGGTTCCTAGAGTTCGTCACGAGTTCTGAACTCGTAGAATCCGGCCACTGCTGCATATAATTGCATCAAAAAGTTATTCTTTTCAGGATAAACAAATTTAAAATCATTTACTCTACCAGTTTACTTTTTCTAGCCAAAAAACTGTACAACTTTTCTGCGTAAAACGCCGATTTTTTCCTACGCATCCGGCCCGCAGTTATTCACTGAACAGAATCATCTACGTCTTGATAGTTTGCTATACATTAGATCAAAGTTTTCTCCGAACAATGTGACACAATCGTTTTATTAACTAAAAAGCTACCAAGAATTGATAATTATCCTAACCAACGCTCTACTTGTGAATAGATGTGTAAGTCGACGCGTTGATCAGCGGCGGCTCAAAACATCCAGGAGCTTTTGTCAAAAATTTCGGCATCATTGAGAAATTTTGTAACATAAAAAGATAAAATAATAAATTCGAAAATTTTTAACCCTCCCCTATATTGACAACGCTCACATACAAACTGTTCTGAATAATAACACGTTTCATTATCTCCATATCTATCAGTTAAAGTTATGATTGAATTTGAAAAAAGAGAATAATATGCAAAGAATTTGACTGGTTTCCATTATTTCAAAGAAATATAATTTAAACAAACAGAAAGGAATAAGAAAAGACGAGTATATTATAACGCGTTGAACGCTAAAAGATGAAATTGTCATTACAGTCTCGCCGACAATAGAAAAAAGATCGTCAAAAGAAACCGCATTTATAAGAGAAACGTGTTCATCACACACTACATTGCCATATGAAAACAGCTAGGTCAAAAAAAACTAAACCACAGAAAGAAAAAATTTATCACACGCTGATAAACTGAACCAATACAAACAAATGTGTTTTATCATGGTTGAAGATGACGTGAGTTTCTAGCAATGTAGTAATGTATGAGAGAAAGAAGAAAAGGAATCTATATAGAATATTGAGAAATAATTAAGGTTTAGATGAAATCTAGTACCATTCTATTATCATGTTATTGATGTGAAAACAGTCCTGCTGTATATGTAGGTCACATTCTTCATATTAGTGTCAGTTTCCTTTCGTTAGAAAGTTTCGAAAATCAAATTAAAGGGATATATCTCATCTTACGTTTCTTATCTATTCATTTAAAAAACGAAACGCAATGATCATGATCGAATACACGAGTCAGTTTCCCTTTCTCAAATGATATAAAACTCCATTGAAATTGAGTTTCATCCATAAAGTACCTAATAGTGAGGATGAAAATGGTTCAGTCCAATATTGTTTCCCCATTGTTCTAGGATTGATTTCGATTTTTATTTCAATCAATGAGCAGCAATTATCAAAGGGCTTTGCTCCAATAAACAAAAACAATGAAGAAGAGACAAGAGTTGATAATACAAGTTTAGGAACAGCAATTGTTAATACACCA